GAGAGAGAGAGAGAGAGAGAGAGAGAGAGAGAGAGAGAGAGAGAGAGAGAGAGTTCTTCTTCTTCCACTTCTAAGTCCACCATCTCTCCCTCACCCTCTCGCTACCTAACTTCTCAGTATCTGCAGACTACGAGAGAGAGAGAGAGGGCTGGTGACATTTGGATCCAGACTCGACATTGGGCTTCAGACATTTGACAAGGGATTATCTGGACTTGTACCGAAGACTTGGTGTTGACAACATTCGCATCTTTCCCCTCTTCTTCGTCTGATCCCCTCTCCTCTTCGTCTGTGGATGTTTGAGGGGCTGGCACATTCTTCCTGTGTGAGCGCCAGGCCCCTTCACACTTTGTGATGAGGATGATGCATGTTTGGTCTGCATTGCGACATCGATTGGGTTAGTCATTGGTATTCTAGCATTCCACTGCGCTGTCTTGTACTACGTGAGAGAGGTCAGTCCCGGTCAGGTCAGGGCTTATATCTAAGTCTTCCGCTGCGCTACAAGGCGCCATTTTGTATGTATCAGGATGTACATTGCTTGTTGAGATTCCACTAGAACTGCATTGTCCATTCAGTCCTAACATACTTGAGGAACCGGCTCCAGTCTGTGCCTCGAAGAAATACATACACGACAGGTGGCAGCCGGTGTTTCACATGGAACACATGGAAAAGGATTGATCTTCTTTAGGGATTAGGGTTTAGGGCTGAGTGTTGGGACAGAAACAAGACAAGCAGGGGCTAAAATTCAAAAGAGTTCACAATGCTTAGCTGTAGGGCTTAGGGTTTTGACAGCATTGCTAGCAGATGTTGCTTCTTAGGGCCTCGTTCGACACCACTTGAAAATACTTGACTTTCAAAGGGCACCCTAACTCACGGAAGGTGATTAATTTCCCCTAACTTGTTTTTTCGTTCCACAACCCCTTGACGAAACCCTTGGGACGGCCGTCCTTGAAACTGAAGTGCTGACGTCATTGCACCACGAACAGTGGTGATTGGTGGAAAAAAAAAGAAAACAAGAAAAAGGTCGGTATATTTCTCGTTTTGAAGGGTGAGACCCTTGCGCCCCAAGTGACCTCCCGAGGCACCCTTGGGATTTTCGTCGATTTGCCTGGGCCGCACTTCCGTTTCAAGGGCGGACACTTGGCCGCCGGGATGTGGAAACAATTAGAGACTTCAAGGGTGGGTGATTAGGGCGGGGTCGAATGACGCTTCCTTAAAAAACAGCAATTTCCAAGTGGTGTCGAACGAGGCCCTTAGACTTTTCTTGCTTTACACGTTTTATCTGACAGCAGTGACAGGTTATTATAGTAAACAAAAAAAAAACAAAAAAAACAAAAAAAGCAATGAGAAACGAAAACTGGTAACGAAAAGGTTCTCTTTTTTTTTTCTTTTTTTTTTTTTGAAGAACAGCCCGAGGTGGTGCTCGGGGTGCTGATAGGAGCAGGCACCACTATCACTCTCGGGAAGGCTTCATTTATTGGTGGGGAGCAGCACCTGCTGGAAACCGGGTCCAGCGTCCCAGAACATCGTGCTTGCTTGTTTGTACAGACATCTGATTGTGGGGACTGGTAGCTGCATGGCCTATCCTCGAAAGAGGAAGTTTGGCAAGTGGGGCTACACAACTACTCAGTAGCCTAAGTTGGTTGCCTGCATGACAGCCTTAGTTAGGCGGCAGTATACCCAAGTCCCACGGCTGCTATCCTCTTTCAATCTTGGAGCCAGGATCTATCACCTATGAATGAACCACAGTGCATGTAGGGAAGCAAACCTCCCGTTCCCCTACCCCCACCCTTTGGAACATGAGCTGTTAAACAATGCTAGACATTGTTAGTTATCTTTTGAGGCTGCTACAAGCTATGGGAATTTGATCTGTAACGGAGTGTGCAGTTGAGCCTTCTGTACCTCTTCACTCATCCGCTGAGCGCCTGATCTGTCGTGAGGCCTCCTGGTACTTTGGCATGCGGGGTTTTGGGGAGTTATAGCCTACGAAACGGTTCTTAAGATTGAAATCTGAACCCACTTGCTGAGAAAACCTGCATGTGTGTGTGTGTGTGTGTGTGTGCCATTCAATCACGTGCTGAGAAAACCTCAATGCGTCAGAGAGAGAGAGAGAGAGAGAGAGAGAGAGAGAGAGAGAGAGAGAGAGAGAGAGAGAGAGAGAGAGAGAGAGATCTGACCAGTCTCTGAGCCCGCTCAGCCTCCTCTCTATTCCTTCTTTCCTCTGAGATAGCTTCTTCAAGCATTGCGCAGCGCATCCGGTAGTAGTGCTCAATACGTCTAAAATCTGTCGTTGACCTCGACCTGATCCGTTCCTCTGCGAGTCTCGTGAGAGTGGCGTCTTTTTCAATCCTCACAACCTTTTCCAGCCTGCACAAACAGGAGGTTGGCGAAACAACGCACACATGACAACAGAGGGAACGCCACAAAGCATACAATCAACAAAAGCCTCTTATAAATGTCAAGGACAAAAGGAAGAAAGGTCAACGATCAACGACTCCTCAGCTGGCAAACAATGTGAATAAATTAAAACTTGAGAGTCTCAACATTTGAAGCGCAAGGCTTTTTATTATATTTTATTCTAATTTAAGGAAAGCGCAAGGAAAATGAGCGATAGCGAACTTCAGAAATCAAACAGCATCATACACATGAGACCAGATAGTCGTGACCTCGAACCAATAGCAGAATTGCATCACGAGTTTCACCAAATAAGAGCACAGCAAAAGCTCATAATTGACAATGCTGGAATAGTCTCATCATCATCAACGAAGAACCAATGTCGATATCTATCTGGCGCTCGGCGCTCAGACTACAGATGGCAGATCCTATCTAGCCTATCTACGATGCCCCTGATGATGTCAACAGCTCCCCGAAGTACGAGCAGATCTCGGCCAATGCCGTTCGCCTCAAGCACCAGGTATGTCTCTCGTATCACTCACAACCTCGATCCCCAACTCACAGATGCCACATGCACCCAAGGACCACCATGCGCCCCATCCAGCATACAGCAGCGCAGCTCGCCTATGGCTGCCTGCTCCTTCCAGCTCGCCCGTGAGCGCGTGAGCGCTGGCCAGCATTAGCGCAGCAGCTCTTGCGCAACATGCAGCCAGTGCCCGAACGACCAATGCGTGGGCAGGCCCTTCCCTATATCGAAGTGGCCTGCTGCTGCGTGCGGCAATTGCGGTACGGGGCCCTGGCCCAGAAGCTTCCGGCAGGCCCCACGAGGTTGAGCCTCAGTCCAAAGAAAACAGGCCCAGGGTCTGTGGTGGTTACCAGCGCCCAACTGCCCTCAGCCTTTGTTCGGTCCATGTTGTGTATCCGGTCCACGGCCTGCCTCAGTTACATACGATGAAAGGCAGCCTGGGCCTGGGCGCTTCCAACCAACTGGCACTGTGCAACTGCCTGAATTTTCCCCAGTTGCGTAGTAGTCCCAAAATAGGCCTCGGTCGGGCCTGCCTTCACTTAGGGCGGCCGACCTTGCTGATAACAGGGCCCAGTGGGGCTTATTGAGGTGTTGTGCCTCGCATTCCCTCCTCCATACTTCGCTAGTCCTCTGAGTAGTTCATTCAATCTGACACTTTCCTTTCTGCAACAACTTCTCGTAGTGGGGGACAACCTGTGGAGCGGTCTGCATCAGGTCCTCCCCTGTAAACCATCTATCCTCCTTAGGATCAGTGTGATGTCTGAACCGAACGCGATACTGCAGCTTCGGTTTCGTAGGACGTCCCCTGCCTGTCGGTCTTGGAACCGGCATTTCCCTGTGGTCCACGATGTCGTCGATGTCGACCTCTCCATCCATGGTTGGGGGCAGCATTGAGCGACGAGTGGGAAACTGCGCCAACTACATTCCAACACTTTATGAATTATTTGTTTAGGCCTGGTTAGATAGGTTCGTGATAGTATACTTAGATGACATACTAGTTTTGAGCAAGACCCTCCAGGAGCATGAGGGCCATCTGAGGCAAGTCTTGGAGAAGCTTAAAGGAGCTAACTTCAAGATCAACGCAAAGAAGTGCGAATGGGTCAAGACACAGGTTTTGTACTTGGGCCACGTCTTAGACGGAGACAGGATAAAACCCGAAGATAGTAAGATTGCAGCGATTAGAGATTGGCCAACACCCCGCACGCTGACAGAGTTGCGGTCGTTCTAGGCCTAGCTAACTATTATAGGAAGTTTGTCGGGAACTTCTCTACCATCGCTGCACCCCTTTGCAGGTTGCTAAAGAAAGAAGCAATCTAGAAATGGGACAAGGACGTGCATCAACCCTGAGGAAGTTGAAGCGGGTTTTGATAGAGTATTCAGTCCTTAAGGTAGCTGATCCATCCCTGCCTTTCGTTGTTACCACTGACACGAATCAGTATGGCATAGGTGTTGTTTTACAGCAAGACGATGGCAATGGATATAGGCCCGTAGAGTTCATGTCTGCCAGAATGCCTTCAGAGAAGGTAGCGACATCCACGTATGAGAGGGAACTCTACACTCTCAGGCAAGCATTAGAGCACTGGAAGCATTACTTGCTTGGGAGACACTTCAAAGTCTATTCAGACCACGAGAACTAAGGTGGCTGAAGACACAAGCTAAGATGACACCTAAGCTTACTAGGTGGGCCGCCGAGTTAGATCAGTATGACTTTGAACTGAAGCCAGTCAAAGGGAAGTATAATGTAGTAGCAGACGCTCTGAGTAGGAGAGCTGATTACTTTGGGGCAATAGTTTACTATCTAGATATAGGGAGAGACCTGCAACAGAAAGTTAGAGAAGCGTATGCACAAGACCCTATCTATAGTGACCTCCTCAAGAGAGTTAGGGAGTCCCCGATGTCCGGACCAGACTACCGTACTACTGACGGATTACTATTTGCGAAGACTAATGTACCTGCGTCTGTGCGTTCCTAACAGTGAAGAGATTCGTTGTTTGATCTTTGGGGAATGCCATAACACAGAGGGACATTTTGGTTGGCAAAAGACACTAGCTAACCTCATGCGCGCATATATATGGCCCGGTATGAAGGCCAACTGCATAGAGTATGTACGTAATTGTAAAGTCTGTCAGAGAAACAAGACTACTACGCGAGCCCCTCTTGGTCTTCTCAGACCCTTGCCTATTCCTGACAGACCCGGAGATTCAGTGTCCATTGACTTTATGGATACTCGGGTCAAGAGTAGGCATGACAAAAGTCAAGTCATGGTTATAGTAGATAGATTTAGCAAGTATGCAGTATCAGTTTCTTTGAATGGTGCAAGTTTAGAGGCAGGAAAAAGAGGGTAAGTACGAAGGTGTCCAGGGATCCGAATGACATACGAGGTGGGCGGCGGTGCTTGTTCTCAGATTCGATCATCGCCGCCTGTGCTTTGTGCATGTATTCTACCGCCTGCTGCATATGATTCTCATATCTATAGGCAAATTCCAAAGTGTCTGGAGCAGCAGTGGGCTGGTTCTCTAGTAGAAGAAAGTCAAGAGGGAGTCTAGGTTTGAACGTTAGTAGTAGGCTGTTACGACTTACTCCCGTGGCCCTATGAACTGCATTGTTGCACATGCTGGCGACGAGAGCAAGCTTCTCGTCCTAGTCCACTTGATTAGGTTTTTGATGTAGTGCCTCAGTAAGTGTTGAAAAGCGTGGTTCATCTGTTGTGCCTGTCCATTTGCCTCCGGATGGTATCCAGATGTCATCTGCAATTGCGTCCCTTGTTCGGCAGCTGCGGCCTTCCACAACTCACTGGTGAATCGGACATTCCTGTCGCTGATTATAGACTTCGGCAGGCCAAAGTCTCTAACCTAGTTTTCCTTAAATAGCCTGATAATGTACTCGGTCTTTGCTGTTTTTGGCATAGCTATTAATCTAGCAAACTTACCAAATCTATCCACGATGACATAGATGTAACTCATGCCACTCTTGCTGGTGACTAGCGTATCCATGAAGTCCATGGACAAGCTTTCACCAGGCCTTTCCGGAATGGGAAGGGGCTTGAGCAACCCAAGAGGAGCTTGTGTCCGGGGCTTGTCACGTTGACAAATTTGACAAGTCTAGACATACAGTTTGGCATCTTTCATCATCGTAGGCCACCAGAATCGCTGCAACAGGTTGGCTGCAGTCTTCTTGAAGCCAAAATGTCCGGTGGCATCATGACTTTCGCCTAAAAATAAACTACGTAAAGACTCTCTATTAGGAACACACAAACACTTATTTCCGGCCTTCTCAAGGAACAACAAGTCGTTGACCAACTCAAACTTGGCATTTGTAGCTTTGTTCTTCGCCTCGAGTCTACGTATGATCTCAGCCATAAACGAATCCTTGCGATAGGCTTCCACCAAAGAACGAGTGACATTATCCGCAAGCCCAAACTCAGTGATCAGCGCACCGGAGAAGTCTGGCCTACACGACAGCGTATCAACAACTTTATTGTACTCACCTTTGATGTACTGGGGCTCGAAGTCATACTGCTCAATGACTTTGATCCAGCGTTTCAGCGCATCGGAGAGCACAGGCTGGGTTCTCATCCACTTCAGGGTCTGATGATCAGTCCTGGCGTAGAAAAACCTCCCAAGGAGGTAATGTCTCCAATAGGTCGGCGCTTTATAAATCGCATAGAGTTCCTTCTTGTAGGTGGACTTTGCCAACTTCTAAGAGGGCATTTTTTTGGACATGTACTCGACAGGCCTCAACTTTGGCCCCTCCTGCTGCGCGAGCACGACGCCTATGCCATCTTGACTAGCATCCGTGGTGACTATAAACGGCTTGTCAGGATCGGGAAGCTTCAAGACCTCATGGTGTGTCAGAGCATGCTTCAGATGTCTGAAAGCAGCCTCACACATGTCTGTCCACTCCCATGGGGTGTCAAGGCGAGTCAAATCCGTCAAAGGGGCGGCAACTATGCTATAGTTCTTCACAAAATTACGATAGTAGTAGGTCATCCCTAAGAAGGATCTCATCTCAGTCACAGACTGAGGACGCGGCCAGTCATGAATGCTGGCCACCTTCGCATCATCGGGCTTCAATCCCTCCGCGGAAATCTCATGACCCAAGTACAAGATGCGGGTGCGGCCAAACGCACACGTCTCCCCGTTTATCTTGAACTTGTGTTGTCGAAGGAGGCCAAGAACCTTGTCTAGATGAGCTACATGCTCTCCGACAATTCTATAGAAGATGAGTATGTCATCAAGGTACACGATGACAAACTTGTCCAAGTCGTCATGAAAGATCCGATTCATGGAGTGCTGAAAGGTGCCAGGAGCATTGCAAAGGCCGAAAGGCATCACCACAAACTCGTACAGACCGTACCTGGTCTGAAAAGCGGTTTTGTGTTGATCCTCGGGCCGGATTGCAATCTGATGGTACCCGGACTTCAGATCTATCTTACTGAAGTACCATCACCCTTGCACTCGATCTAACAAGTCATTGATGCGAGGTAGGGGCTCTCGGTTCTTAACAGTGATGACATTGAGGCCCCTATAGTCAATGCACATCCTCAAGGTTCCCCCCTTCTTCGGTACAAATAAGACTGGAGATCCGTAAAAGGAGACACTCAGCCGGATCCAACTCTTCTCTACGAGTTCCTTGAGTTGCCGGCGAAGCTCGTCAAGCGCCTGAAGACATCTGATAGATCCTACCCTTCGGGATGCTAGACCCTGGGATAATTTCTATCGCGTGGACAACCTCCCTCTCAACAACCCCTTTCAACTCTTCGAATAGATAAGGGTACTTAGCGACTACTCCTTCCATCTCCGGCGGCATTTTCACCGGCTCGCCTTTTCCAGGGACATAAACTAGATACGTACCCTCCTCCGGATTTTGCTTATAATAATTGTAGAATGCGGCCGCACACATGCACCCATAGGACTCCATCAGACTACTAGCCTTAAACTTATGTAATTTGGCGGTCCCCCACCGGGCAAAGTGTGTTTGACCACTTTTCGGTCCTAGTCAAACTGGGGCTGTGCAACCGAAAGATAGTACATACCCAACAGGATGTCCATTGGGAGATCATCACTGACTAGGAACGAGATGCGATGTCTGAGTTCCCCTCCCGCATACGGGAAAAGACACTCAACGTCCTGAAGGTAGTCGTTGACTACCATGCACTGTTTGTTGGCACAGGTCGACTCCACAGGTCGACTAAGGCGCTGCACTTGCCCCTGTAAGCGCAACCTCTCAACACACGCGCGACTGATAAAGTTCCGTATCGAGCAAGTGTCATAATAGGCCCCGGCCTTGCGGCCGCCGATGACTACCTCGCTGATGAACATCTCACCCTTAGGGGCTTTAGCCAATGCCGTCCAAGAAGCTAGCGGGTCTGATCTAGACCACTCCTCCTCTAGCTCCTCCTAAGGACAAACACATTCATCGAACAAAGGCTCGATGGGTCCGAATGTGTTTGCGGGACGACGATGGAGTCAATAGCTTGGGTCATCTCTCGAGATGGTGAGGGTGTGACCGTAACAGGAACAACTACTATCCCTACTGGCCCGACGCGTTTCCCAGAGTTGTGTCAGAATTGTTGGCCACATTGCTACCAACGGGAGCAGAGGATCCCAACGCCTGCCCCATCGTAGGCGGGATCTTCTCGGTCACCTTTTTGTTTCGGCACTTGAACTGATTATGGCCATATTGGCCACAACGGATACAAGCCTGCCGGGTGTACCGGTCTCTCCACACGTCCTCGGTTAGACCCGCTTTCTCCCATGGAGGAGCGTTGCGGTCAACTTGACTCCTAGACCGGGAACCTCTACGGCGTCTACCGGTCGCCTTACCTTTCTGTGCTGAGGCAGCGACTACTCCACCCCTTGAAGCCTCTACGCTCCCTGCCTCTGAACCCACTCCCGCCTGGAAGTCGTCTTCCAACTCGATGGTAGAACCATCATTGTCGACGAACATAATGCGACCCTTCGCCTTCCAGTTGGGAGGCAGTGACTTTTTCCTACCGTCCGTTGTGGGTGTTTGTCCATGCCCTATCTTTGCCTCAAGGTCTAGGGCCTTCTTGCTGAACGAGGGGAAGTTGTGCATGTTGATGTTGGCCTCACCTGTCTACTGATTCCTGAGAGGCATAGGAAAACATCTCAGGTAGGAAGTGAGTAAAACCTAGGGTTCATAGCGCACCCTATGACACAGATCAGATGCTCTACTGCTTTTGTGGTTTCTCTTACTGACTTGAACTGCCTGTTATTCAGAGTCAGGATCACGTCAGTGGCCTTTTGAGCCTCTTGAGGATCATGCCACCTTTCTTCCACCAGCTTAAGGAAGTCATTCGGTTTCTGGTTGACCGCCCAAGCGCGGAAGTCATGACTGTATCCCTGTAATTGCACTAAACCACTCCACCATCTTGTTGCACTCCCTTCCAAATAGGGGGCAGCCACAAGTACTTCCTCGTGCGGCAAGGTCAATTTACACTTGACAGACCGGCACTGACCTCAACCATGTGTCGAGGTCTTCGCCCCTCTTGTCCCCTGAAAAGGGTTTGGGAGAGGTGATGGCAGTCTTTGGAACCCACTGTGTTCGTCCCGGTACCTGTCTCACTCCAGGCTGTGGACCGTGGGGAGCAGGCTGCTGCACTAGCTGCTGCCGGGGCTGTGTACCCTGCGGCTGTGCAGGCTGCGAGACAGGAGGCTGCCTGGTTACGGCAACCTGCAACGGAGGTTGGGGATACACTAACTGTACAGTAACCTGTACACTAGGACCTGCTGAGAACCCTCTTGTTAATGACATACCTAGGGAAGCGGCTTGGACCGATGTTGGAGAGACATATGGGGATACTCCAGTCACCCGTGGGACAAACGGAGGAGGATGTACAACGGGCCAGGCACCGGGTCGGGACGACGATGGTGCTGCCTACGTTCGCCCGACCAGTATGGCCAGACTCTGCTGAATGTCCTGAAGGAGAGCCATGTGGTGGTCCTGCATTTCTACTACATTTAGCAGGACGGACCGTAGGGTCCTCACATCGTCATTCATGTTCGTCAGGTCCATCTCCTCTAACGTGCTAACGTCCGCTTGTCTCCGCTGCATCCTGGCTCTTCTTCTAATCATTTTCTCTTTCTCTGCCTTAATCTCTCCTAACGCCTGCTGTAGTTGTGCCTCGCGAATAGCGGCTCGCTGTATGGCGACCTCCTTGGGGGTCAACACTATTGGCTGGCTTGCCATAACGCGAGTGGACTGACTCAGGGTTTGTGCGACCGTTGACCCTATAGAACTTGACCCACTAGCTTGAGAGCTCTGCTGCGCAGCAGATGCCATGGCTGCTGAAGTAGCGGCCTCGCTCACGAATGCCCTGCTTGCCTCTGTGGCCCTAACTCTTCTCTGCTGCTGCTGTCTCTCTCTCTGCTGATGGAACATAAATTTGTCGCTCTTTGGTCCTAATGCCAAGTGGGCTATCGGGCGCCTTGCTGATCGCAGGATCCTGTCGTCCTCTCTAGTTTCCTCCCTGTCGCTCATAAGCTACAGAACTGCACACCGTCTGCACTAGGTCACTCACTCGATGCCTACCGCAGCGTCATGCACAGACCGATTTAAAAATAAATAAATAAATTAATCGGTGGCTATGTCAGAGACTACACATTTGGGTCCAACAGATAAGTTCAAATTCCTACAAACGGAACTATTTTTAATTAATTAGTCCACGAACGGAAAGCATATTTCTACCTAATGTTGTCTGTCAGATGTCAATGAAAGTCCATATAACTAATCAAAATAAAAATAGAATCGTTTGTGTGGATATTTGCATAGTGGAATTAAACACGAACTTATCACCTGGAATCTACCCCTCCCTCAGTTATTCCCGAATGTCTCTTGTCATCAATGTCCCTGAGCGATTCGGAACAGCGTGCGTGTCTAAAGGTGTGCACACGGCCCACCCCTGTGCCCCGAGTCCTGCTGAGATGGCCAACCCTGCACGATATTTATCCTCGCGTGCAACAAGCCTTACATCGACCGATTGGCTGATCAAGAGGCGTTTTTACGGACGGCCCCTGAAGTCCTCAGGAATTATTTAACGCGGCAAACAAGACGACAATCACAGCCAATGGAAGGTCCCCGCCGGTACTTATTTATAAACGCCCTGTACTCGTCTTTCCCATAGGGCTGGCCTGCCCCTCAGAACCAGGGTTGTCGAGCCCCGGCCCCGGGGCCCCGGCGGGGTTCCGGGGTTACGGGGGTGGGCACCCCCAACCCCGGCTCCAGACCCCCCCGCAAATAAATAAATAAATAAATAAATAAATAAATAAATAAATAAATAAATAAATAAATAGTGGGGGGTGCGCAGCGAAAGCGCGCACCACATGGGCTAAACCCCAAAAATGGGGTTTTATGCCCCACCCCGGACCCCCCCCGGGGCCACACCCACCACTCGTGGGACCGGGGTAGCTGCTGGTGCGGGGCCGGGA